ACTTTCTATTTGTCCTACTATGTTTCTTGTTGGAAGTAATGAATGAATATGTAATTAATTTTAAAAATAAATAAGTTTTAATATAAATAAGAGTGCTCTCTGTGGATTCCTGTGCAAACCTTATGAAGAATAATCATGACATGACTATGTGAAATATGAACAAATGACATGAGACATGAAAATGGACTATTGAGATAAGCTATGACTATGAGAATATGAAAAATAATGATGTGAGACAATAAATGAAATTCCGTGATAAGTGAAATGTTGAGTCAATGAAATTGTAAATGTATGACATGCATCATATACATATATATAACTCCAGGTGTGCCGCTTAGGTCGCATACCAGTGATGTAACATGCTAACAAGGTGTACCTTAGGGTCACCCATGACGTAACATGCTAACAAGGTGTACCTTAGGGTCACCCACGATGTAACATGCTAACAAGGTGTACCTTAGGGTCACCCACAACGTAACATGCTAACAAGGTGTACCTTGGGTCACCTACGATGTAACATGCTAACAAGGTGTACCTTGGGTCGCCCACGACGTAACATGATGATATGATGAGAAATGTGATTACGAGACACGTGATTGGTGCCACATGCATGCATCTATGAGTCAAATCCATGACATCATTGCATGATGAATGACTATGCATGTGTTATTGTTGTATGTGAAATTTGAATTTGCACTTGATTAATGTGATTGTGCTTGTATGAGATGTTTCTCACTCCCTTGTTGTTCTTGTATATGTTTAAATTATGTTGCAGGTGATCATCATCATGAGAATGTTGGTGATGAGGCTTAAGGCTTCAGTTGGGCATGCTTTGATAGGATGTGACATCGGGCATAGGTAGGCTTAGTTTAGGATGTTATTGATTTAAAAGCCTTAGTTTTCTTTTCTTTTGTAATTTTGAACGTTCTTGATAAAAGACTAAAATGTGCATCTTTGTCATATTATTTTTATTACATGATTTGGAAGTTATAAATTAATTCCTAACTAGGAGGCACTGCCACCTTTACTGGAATTAATCTATATTTCCTTTATTATTTTTTATGATTTTTTAAGTTTTGATACTTACATGTTGATTTTATTTATGGTTTATGAGTTACGAATGTGAACCTTCTATGTTATGATATTTGAGACATTTGTTTTATACATGAAAGATGTTATCAAACTATGAAAGATTTTATTTACTCAAAAAGAAAAAAAATTATTGTTTACATTTATTGTGTATTAATGTTAGGGTAGAGGGTGTCACAATTTACAAAGAGTATATGTTTTCTGTACAAGTGTATCTATGTGTTCTCTTGTATCGTGCCCTTTTCTCTTACTTGAGCTTCAAATCTTCTTATATGGTAGCTTGTAGAAGATGACTATTGTAATACTTTGAGTCTAACTCACAAGTTTGCTTTGTCTGTTTTCATCATATTTCCTTATGATGATAGGTAACCGTTGACTCATTTAATACAAATATTAAATGCATTTCACAGAAAGATACCTTTTATTTGATCAAAGAAGTTACTTATCATCTTTCCACACCAAACGAAGCTTGCAAAAGCAATGTCATCGTAGTATAGTAACAGTGACTTTATCTACTTTTCTCCATGATTTTAGGGATCTTCATCCTTGACCTTGACAAAAAGCATTATCATTTTCTCTTTAACAGATATATGAGTTCTGAGATGACTTTCTATTTCGATCTGTTAAGGAATGAAGCATTCAAAATGAATTTTGTCAGTAGTCTTAATAAATAATGAGCATTTAATGTATATGAGACAAATTGTGTGCTTCATCTGATTCACATCGTCTTATAGACGATTTGCGTCTGACACTTCGTTTGATAAATATTTTTCAAAGATATCTTATAGACCAAGGGTGAAATCGAGGTCACCTTCCTCCAACTCCTTGTCTCCTATGACAAGATCAAATCATATAACAAACATCTTCTCAAGTTCACAAGCTAGCGCCTCAACACGAGGGGCTACATTGAGCTCCTAACCAAATTCGGGAATGAAATAAACATCAAACCTCTATCAGTAATATTTTAAGTATACGGTTGTTGAACACTCCAAGGTAGGTCCTTTCAAACGGCATTTCGACAATCAAGTTAAGTTTCAACTCAAAGCAATATAATGCAAGTAATAAATTTGTGAACAACTACCTTTTACCTCATCTTATGTCACTATTTATACTGATAGACTTAAATTTTTTGGTTTTATTTCCTTATTTTCAATTAGGTAATATGTCACTGATGATGATTTAGTGCATAATGTTTTTAACTACTCATATTAGTTTTTTCCTAATCCATTTTGTTAAACTTTGTGCGTGTTCCAAATAATAGACCTCGACATCAACCTCACCTTAAGGTCTCGACCTCGGTCATGAATCTCGTCTTTAGCCATAAAGTTTGTATTGATGAATTTCCAGGTTTTGATGACAAAGGTCAAAACCTGCACCTAATGACACATATTATCGGTTACACTTGTTTCTAGTGTCTTGATATGTACCTAACTTAGTTTTTATTTTAAGTTTTAATTATAATAAAAATTAATAAATTTATTGTTAAATTAATATTTTTTTTATTTGTGTCATGTATCCATATAACCAACATTATCTAATCGGATAATACTTTTTTTAATAATCTTTTTATTGAATTATTATAATTAATAGTGTTTATATTTAAGGAAAGAAAGTGTACTAGTAAGGTTTAAATATGCTTATAATCTCTTAAATATGACGTAAATGTGCTTAAAAGTAATTTTTTAGTTTTATTATAAAAAAAAAAAATAAAAAAAACTTTGACTCTAAGTTCAAACCTTATTTTGGTCGTTATAATATTTTCTGCTAGTCAAGAAATTTTGCAACGTTAACTGAGCCATGTCGGGACCCCAGCTAGCTTCACATAGATCCACAATAGTTAGGAACTTTTTACATGCTTTCTAATAACTTTCTGAAGTTTACCACAACTTCAATTTTGACTATAGCGTAAACAACACGTTCGATGTCGATATACGAAGCTTTGAATCTTGTGAAATTCAAGTCCAAGGTTCTTGTATTTTATTGCATACCCTTCCTTCTGATTTATCACAATTATATGTGAATCCTCTTGGCTTTGTATATTATGTTTTCCAATATTTTTATATATTAAAGACAGTTAAAAATAGAAAAGAAAATATAAAATGAAACGGATAATATAACAAAAGAGAGCAATAGAAAAAAAAAAGTGAGTTCTAAAAAAAAAGCATAATATAAATATCTCATATGAAAGTTGGAATAATATAATTTAAATGATTATAATTTGGGTAAAATATATTTTTTATCTCTAATTTAAAAAAACAAATAGTTTTAGTCTCTATAAAATTTTAATACGCTTTCAGTCGCTACTAAAAACACATATTTTAGATTTCAATTGAGGACGAATTTCATATCACTTTTGATAAATATAAAAACTAAAAATACATTAAAATTCCATAGGGACTAAAATCGATATTATAAGATATTTTGAAGAAGTAAAAATATATTTTAGTAATTATATTGTCTAAGAAAAGGGAAATAGCTGGGGAACATACACCTTATTTTGAAAGTATTGAGTGGAATAAAAATAATGATAACAAAAAGGGCGAAAATGATTAGAAAAAGACAGAAATAAGTATATAAAAAAAAAAAACAATGAGGTGAAAAGGAAATGGAGAGAAAATGATATGAAAAAGGAGAAAAAGTAACAACTGTGCTAAGAAAAAGACAGAAATATATATATAAATAATAATTAAAAAGAGGTGAAAAGGAAATGGAGAGAAAATAAATATATCTTAATAATAATAATTACTAGAAAATTAAGACAAAGTCTTCGTTTGTCAGTGTCAAGTATTTGTATTATTTTTTCCCAGAATTTTCCACAATGAAGTCAGTCTTGAATAATACCAGGACTACTCAGGAACTGTCCAGAAAATAAAAGGGAATATACTGATAGGAAACAACAATGACTTTGAAAGAAAATTCTCAATAGAAATTTTCAAAGTAGTACGTTTCTGATGCTTAGTTGTCCACGCGCATGAAAATATTACCTTACATTCCAAGACACTTCCTTTTCCAAATGTTATTATTAGATTTTTATTATTAAATTATGAGTTTATTTCTATGCATTATAAATATAAACCAATTCAAAATCATCATCAATATGATTTTAAATGTAGTTTGTGTAAAAATTAACTAACTTATTATGTATAGTAGTTTGGAATTAGATGAGTGTCTAGAAACCTTTGAATTTTAAAAGCATGCACTATTTATCCTTAAACTCTAGTATCCTAAAAAATATGGTTGATGGGTTGTTATATAGCTAGTGAATAAATATGCTTCAAACACATACTCTCTGGTTGAGAAACTGAAGAGTATCCAGTTTAATTACTTTCACCATTCATGTGTATTTTTTATTTTATTTTAACTATCAAACGTTAAAATTAATGAACGATTGCCCTAACTAATACATTAAGGTAACCCATTTAGGAAGAAAAAACTATTTTCGTACTATTTTTCCTATTTATGACATTTCAAACTGAAATCAAGATCCGAAGACATCAGCAAAAGTATTGACCAAGTGAACTCGGGTACTTGTAAGTTGTTTCATTCGACGTCATTGATCTTTATTAAAGATTAAAAACAATTGTATTTTAAAATACTTTATTACATTGCTTGGAAACTTTTACTAGGATCTAGTAGTTTGACCCGTTAAAACTAAAAGAAATGTTCTTATTATAAGGTGTATGGTCAAGGTCAATGCAATAATATACTAATATGAAGCTAGACTGGTTTCAACCCAAAGAGAAAGCACACTTGATTTGAAAGCAATATAATATTTGTATTTCTATATAGTGGCATTCAGAGCCTTCAAAGTAGCAATATTCGTATTTATATGATGGCATGAGTGCCCACAATAGCAATATTCTTTTATAGTAAAAATGCACAAGTTAGTTTTCCTGCTTTGGTTTTTCAACATGCATGTAATCATACTTGGGAAAAGTGCAGCTAATGAGAGTTCTGATGTTAAGGGCATAATAGGAGTTATTATAGATAGCAGTTCTCGCATAGGCCAAGAGCATGCAGTGGCTATAAATCTGGCATTGGAAGACTTTTATCGAAAAAACAATCTGAGTTTTGCTCTGCATATAAGAAGCTCTCAAGGAGATCCTCTTTTGGCAGTTATTGCAGGTATATCTCTCGTATCATCTCTCTAACTTCAAAATCATGTAAACTATTGAGTCTAGGAAAGGCTACACTCTTGTCTCTTAGTTCTGACTAGAAGACTTGTTCCAAAGCATAAAAAAAGTCTAATATTTTTTAAGAATCGAGATTAAAAGTAATTTATGAATACTCTCATCCGATAAATAGAAGTGAGAAGAGAAAAAAAAATTTAATTAATTCATTAATTAAAGACTTAATTTCAGATTTTTCTACACGTGTATCATGATTTCACAAGTTTTTCCACCCAATTTTGGGATTTCCACATTTTGTTATCCAACTATCAAAATTTTGCAATTTTGTCACCTATTTTTAGTTATCATTTAGCTTTGATCATTAACATAGCACGTTGAACAGTGAAATAGCACATTAATTATTGACATAACATATTGTGTCATATCATCATTTGTATATCATATTTGAATCTACATTAGTAATTAACATGTCACATCAGTGATTAAGGTGTCAATTATCATGTTAGTAGTCAACATGTCACATTAACAGTTAATTAACGTTGTTAGACGATTATCTAATAGAGTAACAAAATGCCCAAAATTTTGAAAGTTTGGTGGCAAAGTGTATATTTGAAGGTTATCTGACAAAATTTGCAAAATCATGAAACATAGAAGAAAAAATGTGATTAAGCATAAAATAAATTATAAAACAAAAAAAGTCAAATAATGTTGTCTTAAGTGTCACTCATTAATTTCCTTTTGAGAACTGCAGCCTTTGTCGTTCTTACCAATTTCATCTATATGAAACAACAAAACATTGTCTAGACATGATTTTCTCTTTGTAGTGTTCTTCTTACAATGGAATGTATTGTTTGGCAGCGAGGGATCTCATTGATAATCAAAAGGTGCAAGCAATCATTGGACCACAAACATGGGCTGAGACATCTTTAGTGGCTGAAGTCTGTAGCCAAAAGAGCATACCCCTCCTTTCTCTAGCAGATACAACTCCAGAATGGGCAATGCGGAAGTGGCACTTCCTGCTTCAATCCTCACCTAGCCAAATTATGCAGATGAAAGCTATAGCTGAGATTGTGAAGTCTTGGGAACTCTATAATGTTAGCATGATATATGAAGATGGAGACTCATCATTTACTGAAGTTTTATCTCAGCTCTCTGGAGCTCTTACAAAAGTTGGCACAAAATTAAACAATGTTCTAGCAATTGCACCTCTAGTTTCTTCTTCTCTGTCCCAACAACTAGAGAAGCTAAGAGAAGGACAGTGTAGAGTCTTCATTGTCCATTTGTCTTTTCCTTTGACCCTACACCTGTTTGAAACTGCAAAAAAAATGAAAATGATGGGGGAAAGTAATGTATGGATTACCACTAGTACCTTTACAAGCCTTGTTCATTCCTTGAATGCATCCTCTATCTCCAATCTACAAGGGATCATTGGAGTGAAGAGCTATATGCCAAATCTATGGTACCAACATGTAAACTTCTACCATAGATTTCAGGTAAAATTTTGCTCAGAGAATTTTGAAGAGTTTAATTGTGAGCCTGGGATCTTCGCAGCCCAGGCTTATGATGCAGCATGGATTGTGGTTCAGGCAATGAGAGAAACCAAGCAAGGACAGGGTCAAGTATTGCTAGATAAGATTTTACTAAGTAATTTTACTGGCTTAAGTGGAAAAATTCAGTTCACTGACCATAAATTACCTCCAGCACATACTTATCAAATCATTTATGTGATTGGAAGGAGCTACAAGGAAATTGGGTTCTGGTCAGATGGGCATGGTTTCTCAAAATCTTTGGATCAAAATGCTTTTTACAATTCTTCGGTAAAGGAATTAGGAAAAGTAGTTAATCCAACTTGTGTCATACGACTAAGAATTGCTGTCCCCTCCACACCAAACTACAAACAGTATGTCAATGTTATTGAAGATGAAAATGTTACATCCTTCAAGGGATTTTCCATAGAGCTTTTCAACGAAACAGTAAAAAGATTACCATACCTAGAATATGATTATTTTGCCTTTAATGGCACATATGATGACCTGGTGAAGCAAGTATATTGGAAGGTAAATGTTTTATTTATTACCCTTGTATGTTGTAGCTCACTTCATTGTCGCTAATTATTGATAATAAACTAAGAAAGAAAGATACTTTTAAATGATAACCAAGTCATGTTGCGATTGTGTCTTTGTTAGCTGTTATATGCAATTTGAATACTTTTAGTTGCATTTTCATAATTTCTTTTGCTTTTATTCATTAAACTTTTATACCAATACAAGTTAGAATACCATAGGATTTAGATAAACTTCAATGTTTTGCTGTGCCCAAAATAACTCAATCTTGTATATTGAATAATTGCATTATAACTCTGTCATGTCCTGTGATATTTAGAATTTATTGTATTCTCATGTTCCTGTTCTATCATATTTGCATCCAGTATACTAACCGCATTTGTGCTTAGGAAGACCTAGATATACAGATTCGAATCTCATTAGAATGTTTTTTTCCTTTCATTTGTATTATGAGAATTATGCCAAAACAGTAGAGTTCTTTAATACCAATTCTTATATTGAGAAACATTTTTCTCCTATTTTATTGATTTTCTTTCATCCATACTGGATACCCTTATTTGTTATACAACAAGATGAAAAATAATCTCGAGTGAGCTTTTACTCTGACAATTAATTTCAATATTTATCTTCTACACCCTATTACACCCTAGCTATACCTTCATCCTCAAGTTTATTTGACGTAAACTTTCTGGTTCTTGCCTAACATAAAAGTATGTGGTTGCTCCTAGAAACATTATTACTCTAATCACATTTTCTTTGACATCTAGAATGATCAATGCTTGATGCAGAAATATGATGCAGTTGTTGGTGATGTATCGATAGTGTCCGCTCGTTATGAATATGCTTCATTCACTCAGCCCTATACTGATACCGGACTGGTGATGATTGTTCCTGTTAAATCAAAGACAGGCAATAGAGCATGGCTATTCATGAAGCCTTTCACAAAGCTCATGTGGATTCTAATATTGGTCATCATTGTCTACAATGGCTTTGTTGTATGGTTGATTGAAAGAAACCACTGCCCTGAACTTAAGGGCCCTATTCTTCATCAAACCACAACTGTGCTGTGGTTGGCTTTCTGTTCTATGTTCTCTTTGAATGGTAACTTCATTCTGCTTTATTCATCTATTTGATCCATCTAATTTCAATAACAACGGATCTCTAACTTCTATTAGAACTTCAGTTGAGGTTCATGATGGTCTAGTTAATTTTACTTTGACAAAAACTAATATTTTGTTGAAGACTAGTTTTTGGAGGTGTTGAGAATAGATTTACAAAGATTATTTATTCTTAAAAGATGACTTATAATCTTTTAATTTCTTTTTAACTTATTTTAAATTAGAATAAGTGTTTAACTAAGTTACATACCTAAATGTTGCCTTGATTCATATCATGTTGCCTCACACAAGTCATTTGAGCAAGGGATATTGATTTGGGTGATCTCCGGAAAGTAATAGATTTAAACATCTGTGCCATCATTTGATCCTGAAAGAAATAATTTTAATTAAGAATACAGACAACAATAATCAAACTTCTGACAATTTGGTGGTTGTGACTAACTAACAAGTAGCACCAGCAACTATCTCAGATAACATTACTTTGCATAATCTGCTGACACAGGGGGCAGGTTGCATAGCAATTTATCAAGGGTGGCAATGGTGGTCTGGCTTTTTGTGGCTCTAATCATTACACAGACTTACACTGCTAGCCTTGCCAGCATGTTGACTGTTGAACGGTTTGAACCAACAGTTGACAGCGTTCAACAGCTAAAGAAAAGCAATGCCACGGTAGGATATGATACAGGATCCTACTGTGAAAGATATCTCCAAGATGCATTGGGCATGAATGCAAAAAACATCAAGCCATTTGATTCACAGGAGAGCTATGCTGATGCCCTAAGAAACAAAGAAATAGCAGCTGTCTTCATTGATGTTCCTGGGTCCAAACTTTTCCTTGCAAAGCACTGTAAAGGGTTTGTTCAAGCAGGGCCTACATACAAGATTGGAGGATATGGATTTGTATTGCTTCAACATTTCTTTCACTTTTTTTCCTTTATAAGTTTCTGAGTAATTGTATAGATTGAGGTACAACCAATCAAAAGGTTAAGATAAACAGAATAATTTCAGCACAGAGATCAACACAAACTTTATTATTTTAGGACAATCTAGATGCAATTTCTTAGGCCATTTTTGCATTGTTCTCCAATCATATTTAAAGTTTCACCTCAGTAAAATGTGTTTTGTTCTTTTTTTTTTTTCCTAATATAATAAAGGTTTACACTAAAGATCAGCATAGGTTAGTGATGTGAAATTCCCATTCTGATTGGAAAACACTACTAAAAGCATTTATGAAATTGCATCTAAACTTTGTCCATTGTTTTGATGTATCTTGAGTTTTTAATTGGTTGTACCTATAGGAATTTCTGTCATGAAAGAACTACTCTTAATTTCTAGCCCCTCAACTTGAACAAAGTTTACTTTAACACAGTTGCAATGTCTTTGCAGGTATTTCCAAAGGGATCTCCGTTGCTTCATAGTGTAAACAGAGCCATGCTGAACATATCTGAAAATGGCACCATTCGTGATCTAGAAAACAGTATGCTTGCATCAGAGGAATGTAAAGACATAATTGACACGTATGGAGAAACTACTAGTGTTAGCCCTGCAAGCTTCATGGTGCTCTTCATCCTAACTGGAGGCACTTCAACAATTGCTCTCTTAAGCTACATATTTTCAGTGAATTGTTTATGCTCTGAACAGAGAACAATATGGAGTCTAATGATGGCTGTGATGAAACGTTGGAGATCTCGAAAGAGACTGTTTTCAAGAAAAGTCTACAATGTTGCAGAAAGCCCTTTAAACTCGTCCAACATTTTCAATTTGCCAGCTTTAGCTTAAACAAGATGGTTAAGTAGTATTGTGTAGCCAGGAGTAGGAGCACCAAATATGCAGTTAACACTGATCTAACTACATAACTTTTAGTGCCTGATCAGCGATTGAAATTGCTATTATGTTCCTATACACAAGGTTCTCAAAAGAACATTGTAAATCTTGTGACATTTACTGTTTCTCGTGTATAAATAACACAAAATTATTAACACTATATTAATGGGATTTGACTTGACAAAAGGCAAACATTTATTTTCTATTTCTTCTGATTTCTTCTCAGAATAGTAAATGTTTTTGTATCTTCAAAAACAAAGGAAAGACTTTTTAGTAAAAGTTTCCCTAGTGCTGAATATTTGCATGTAAGGCAATTTCATTACTTCATCATTGATGGTTTTTATCTTTATTGTATAAACACATCAAAAATTTACTACAAAGTTAAAAGGGAAAACTTTTTGTTGTTCACACAAAATATTCAAATCGAAAAATGTGACTAATATATTTAAGGAAAGCAACAACATTATACAACCTAATCCTAGCTTATGAACAAGGCTCTCTAGTAAACAGGTTTAGCTTGCTTTGCTTGTTGCCCTTACTGATATAACGCTTGCTTATGGTGAGTGAAAGTGAGGAATAAAATGCAACAATTTAGGGTTTCTTCGATTCCCTTTCTCATTATACAAGTTGTTTTTAATACAAATCCGCAACTAAAAACTCAAAAACAAATTGAAAAATGTTTGTCATCTCTTCCTTATGTTTCAAGTGTTCTGAGAGGAGAATTTTTTAAAATACATAAATATACACAGGAATCCATCACTTTGAACTACACTCATAACACAAACAAATTTTAGGAAAAAGAAAAGTGTTTTTGAAAATAGTAAACAAACGAGACCTTGATGGTCTACCTGGAAGGCTGGAACTGAACTCACAAAATAAGCTTTGAAACCATTTGCTGCACACTTGTTCATACAGAGTAATCTCCGGTTAGGATAAAATTTTTATTTTGGTCCCTTATAATCTTTTTTTGTTTCAATTTAGATTCGAAAGAAAAGTCGCATGTAATAAGGGAAATTCTAGTAGTGGAACATCAAAATAGCATACGTCTATCTTTGACAACTGTCAAAGAAAATAACACACAGAGAGTTATACTCATCCAAATAAGCTCAAACCTATCTTTAAAGAAATATAAGAGGATCATCTACAACTCTTATGGAGACATTAAATTCTAAAAAAAAATCATGTACTTAGCTAAAAATGTCAAAAACTGCAACAGATATAATTCACGCTGACAACTTGATCCCTGTTCACTAAAATAGCCATATATAGAGTTCTAGACATTCTTTTTGAGTGATTCCAAAGCCATTAAAAGTATAACACCCAAAGATACAACTTTTGAGAAGAACATGAAGCCTAAAAATGTCTTTAAGGTCACCTCGTATGGCTGACAACATTAAACTTAATCTTTCGCGCACTGGAATGGAGACTGAACTTATAAGTCGCATAACTCAATCAATTCTTAATCTTTTTACACGATTCCAGAGTCTAAATTATAGCCCCAAGTCTTTACTTTATAACCCAATAAACGAGAATTAATTTGGTTAATCACACAGAAATATATTACAAAAATAATAAGGTACATCCACAACTAAAATCTCTCAATTACTCATCAATTCATATAATTAAGGGTATTCATCAATCTACAAGAATCCTAACTTACAGAGGATATCCCAATAAATCCAATCATCATCTAAATAATCAATTTTACCAAATAATATCACAACCAAATTTATAAATCGATATGAAATCTGATTGAATCATAAATTTCATAGAATCTCAACTCAAATAGTAAAACCCCCAATTTTTTCAAAACTTAACTCACAACTTTTCTACAATTTCGTTCTCTCTCCCAAATCATCATTTTTATAAATTGTTTGCATATTCCTAATCTTCAATTTTGCATGAAAGTTTCTTGCAAAAAAAAATTTGCAGGAAAGTTTCCTGCAAATTTTTTCGCAACAAATTCTGCAAGAATATATTTTTATGAAAAAAATTAAAAAACACTAGTATAAATTCTATCAATAATTCTTCAACTTTCAAATGCTCACAATGAATTCATCCAAAGGATTTGTTTCCATGCCTTCAACATGTGATACATAATCTTTTAAATTCTAAACTTGTAGATTATAAGCCTAACACTCAACCATACAAATCAACTTGTTAGTGAGTGTTGTCCCAACTTATATACTCTTTAACATTAAATTCTAAAAAAAAATCATGTACTTAGCTAAAAATGTCAAAAACTGCAACAGATATAATTCACGCTGACAACTTGATCCCTGTTCACTAAAATAGCCATATATAGAGTTCTAGACATTCTTTTTGAGTGATTCCAAAGCCATTAAAAGTATAACACCCAAAGATACAACTTTTGAGAAGAACATGAAGCCTAAAAATGTCTTTAAGGTCACCTCGTATGGCTGACAACATTAAACTTAATCTTTCGCGCACTGGAATGGAGACTGAACTTATAAGTCGCATAACTCAATCAATTCTTAATCTTTTTACACGATTCCAGAGTCTAAATTATAGCCCCAAGTCTTTACTTTATAACCCAATAAACGAGAATTAATTTGGTTAATCACACAGAAATATATTACAAAAATAATATCCCTGTTCACTAAAATAGCCATATATAGAGTTCTAGACATTCTTTTTGAGTGATTCCAAAGCCATTAAAAGTATAACACCCAAAGATACAACTTTTGAGAAGAACATGAAGCCTAAAAATGTCTTATTAGCCATTTTTTAATGAGTATTGATGGGAGTAAAAATTAATATAATTTTTTCTATAAATTAAAATTAATCTCTTCGTAAATTAAAAATAAACTTTTAGAAGAGATCTAGCTAATTTAATTGAGTAAGGTGCATGAATATTATAAAACTCTTAATATCAAGTTTCATTCTAGTGAACTAAAAAAAAGTATTAATTTTTGGAGAAGTTAATACAATAGAACAAAAGTTTTACAAACAAGCCTCTACAATATGGGTCAATCATTTGTATACATAGACTCCTGTAAATACAACTTTCGACTCAATGAAAACAAATTACACTTCCTAGTTATTAAAAATATGTTATAAATACAATATTCTAACTCATTTAAGTTGGTAAATTATGTTAATACCTCTTTTTTCTCTTTAAAACAGAAGGAAAAAAAAAAGTTAGAGAAAGAAAACAATGTGATGATTAATTGCCCAAGAGGATGTATATTACTTGAATGGTTGTGCAGGTAATGGAGTGAAATTTTGTACTTTCACAAACGAGAATTAAGGAACATTTTATATTTCTGCTTCAGTAAAAGATTTTACAAAGAAAGGTGTGGGGCTGACTCTTGAATGGTAGATTAGTACGTGATAATTTTACAAAACTTTTTACAAAGAGTTTTAAATTTCTCACATCTCTTAAACAGTTAAAGGTATTGTGGCTATATTTATTAGTGATACAAATTAGCTTGACAGAATGAATAGATGATTTTAAAGGTTATTTCATACATCCAGTGGGGGACTCGTGATTTGTACCAACAAAAAAAGTTAATTTTAATATGATTTTCGTGAGAAATATAAATTATACCCGAAATTATTTCACACCTTTATTGTCCAAATTATATCCCTTACTCTTATGAGAAATTTTATTCATGTAACTTTTATATATTATAACTAAAAAAAATGAGACAGAAATCGTATAAATTGTATAATTTTTGTTGTATACATACTCTTCCATTGTTCACAACTACATTTGTTTTGAAACATACGTATTTTAGTCGACGAAAAAAGCTATCAAAAAATGGGCAATTAGCATGCAATCCAACTTTTCCTCGAAGTAATCGTCTTCCAATTGCTTTCACTTTAAAACTGGCAAGATAGGTTCATACATGAGGTGATATCAAAGTGAAGATAGGTACCCAAAACTTCATCACAAGGGTAGGGACACAAATCTCCCCATGTCAGCCTGAATTTGGGAACCAAACATAGAAAGCTGATCTCTTGTATCAACACTCAAAAGGGCACATAATTCTTAGAAAGCTGATCTCATCCTTACCCAAAAGTCCTCCATGTTCCCACTATATACTTCTCTCTCAAATCAATCTGCTCCAAATTCCTAACTGAACGCTGAAAACCCAATTGCACATTTTTTAGCTTAATAAAAATAAAATAGCCGACCAATCTGAGCCAAACCTGAGATTGAATATACGTTACCATTCTGACTTGATTTCTGATCAGCATATGTAAATTGCAGCAACAGCATTAGTATTTACAGGATGATATTGAAAATGAAGCTGATCCACGTAAAATTCCCCAACAGCATTACTTTGGAATTGGGTTTTATTTCATATTGCTTATAGATACCATTCTATATTTGTATGATATAATAGATGGCAAGGGATATGGTGACATCTGCACGGCGGTTGCTGGTTCCCCTAGTTAATAAACAACATTCCCAATCCTTCGCATCAAAATCGTTAAGTATTGAACTAACTAGCTGTCTCCAATTCCCTCCCATGTAACCCACCTCTCTCTGTCCCAAACCTCTGGGAGCATTAGAAAAATGAACAATACTAGTACTTGCTGAGACAATAATTTCCCTAGACACCTAGGTATACCACCACCCAAAACCCATCCCATTTCAGTCACCTTATAAATCATGTTTACTATATCAGTTTTAACATTTTTTTTTATGTGCTTACGTATGTCATCTACTAGACTACTACTCAGAATTGATTATGAATAATGTATTTATAAACATGACAGAGCCATTAAAATATGTGCTTTGTCTAGGTGAACTATCGCAGAACTGCCAAGACTACTAGAGCTTCATGCAATCAAGAAAGACTAAATTTAATTTGTATCATAAATCTATCACAAATTAAATTTGTATGCATGCAACTGAGTTTAAACACTGATATATTATTATCATATACACTCTAAATCAATAGTTCATCATTAACATGAATATC